AGTGTGAGGAGAGCTTTCAAAAGATCAAGGTAGCTTTGACTAGAGCCCTAGTATTGATATTGCCTACAGGTTCGGGGTCTTGTACTATCTATTGGGATGCCTCGATGATTGGCCTTGGAGCGGTATTAATGTAGGACGGAAGGGTGATTGCCTACGCGTTCAGGCATCTGAAGGTGCATGAGAAGAATTATCATGTCCATAATCTCGAGTTAGCTGCTATTGTTCATGACTTGAAGATCTGCCGTCATTATTTGTACGGTGTTCCTTGTGATATCTATACTAATCACCGGAGTTTGCAGCATTTGTTCAAGCAGGACCTTAATTTGCGTCAGAGGAGGTGGTTAGAGCTACTTAAGGATTATGATATCACTATTTTGTACCACCAGGGAATGCTAATGTAGTGACCGATGCTTTAAGTCATCAGGCAGAGAGTTTGGGGAGTTTGGCTTATCTACCCGCAGCAGAGAGACCCATGGCGAGGGATGTTCAGGCCTTAGCAAGCCAATTTGTGAGATTGGATATTTCAGAGCCTAGTAGGGTCCTAGCTTGTGTGGTTTCTCGTTTTTCCTTGTTTGATTGTATCAAAGAGCGTCAGTTTGATGACCCTTATTTGCTTGTCCTCAAGGACAAGTTCTTCATGATGATGCTAGAGATGTGACTATTGGTGATGACGGGGTATTGAAGATGCAGGGTCAGATATGTGTGCCCAATATTGATTGGCTTCCGGAGTTGATTCTAGAGGAGGCCCACAGTTTGCGGTATTCCATCCATTCAGGTGCCACAAAGATGTATCAGGATTTGAGGCAGCACTATTAGTGGAGGAGGATGAAGAAAGATATAGTTGGGTTTGTAACTCGATGCCTCAATTGTCAGCATGTGAAATATGAGCATCAGAGACCGGGTGATTTTCTTCAGTAGATAGAAATTTCGGAGTGGAAGTAGGAGCGGATAACCATGGATTTTATAGTTGGAATCCCACGGACTTGGAGGAAGTTCGATGTCATTGTGGATCAGGTTACCAAGTCCGCGCACTTCATTCCTGTATGTACTACCTATTCTTCAGAGCGGTTGGCTGAGATTTATATTCGGGAGATTGTTCGCCTGCATGGTATTCCAGTTTTCATTATGTCTGATAGAGGTACTCAGTTTACATCACAGTTCTGGAGAGTCGTACAGCATGAGTTGGGCACTCGGGTGGAGTTGAGCACAATATTTCATCCCCAGATGGACGGACAGTTCGAGCGCACTATTCAAATTCTTGAGGATATGCTTTGTGCGTATGTGATGGAGTTTGAAGGTTCTTAGGATCAGTTCTTGCCACTTGAGGAGTTTTCCTACAGCAACAGTTATCAGTCCAGTATTTAGATGGCCCCGTATGATGCTCTGTATGGTAGGCGGCATAGATCCCCGGTAGGTTGGTTCGAGCCGGGATAGGCTAGTTTACTGGGCACAGACTTGGTTCAGGATACTTTGGAGAAGGTTAAGGTGATTCAGGATAGACTTCGTACAGCCCAGTCCAGACAAAAGAGTTATGTGGACTGGAAGGTTTGCGATGTTTCCTTTATGGTTAGAGAGTGGGTATTGCTTCGGGTTTTGCCTATGAAGGGCGTTATGAGATTTGAAAAGAAGGGCAAGTTGAGCCCAAGGTTTATTGGCCCCTTTGAGGTGTTGGAGCGTGTTAGAGAGGTTGCTTCAAGGTTTATTGGCCCCTTTGAGGTGTTGCAGTGTGTTGGGGAGGTTTTTTATGAGCTTGCCTTACCTCCTAGTTTGGCAGGAGTTCATTCGATTTTTCATGTTTCGATGCTTCGAAGATATCACGTCGATCCGTCTCACATGTTGGATTTAAGTTCAGTCTAATTGGACAAGGATCTATCTTATGTTGAGGAGTCAGTGGCTATATTGGACAGGCAGGTTCAAAAGCTGAGGTCAAAGATTGTTGCATTAGTAAAGGTTCAGTGACGGGGTCAGCTAGTCGAGGAGGTGACTTGGGAGACCGAGCAGGATATGCGCAACTGTTATCCTCATCTTTTAACCACTTCAGGTATGTCTTTATGCTCGTTCGAGGACAAACGAATATTTTAAGAGGGGGAGGATGTAACGCCTAGCCGGTCGTTTTGAGAATTAACGCCTCGATTCCCTATTAATTGCTTTCCCCGTGTCTTTTTATGATACTGTAATTTCGGGATAGTTCATCTGGAGTTTCATAGTGTTTTGTGACACTTAGTCCCTAAATGAGAGTTTATCTCTTAAAATTTAGACAATAGTCGGAGCAGTATGAAGACGGCTCTGTAATGAATTTCGTCAATTCTGTTAGCTCCGTTGGGTGATTTTGGGCTTAGAGGCGTGTCCGGATTGTGCTTTGGAGGTCCGTAGCTTATTTGGGCTTGAAATGGCGAAAGTTGAATTTTTCAAGTTTCGGGCCGATAGTGGAACTTTTTATGTCGGGTTCAAAATCCGATTTCGGAAGTTAGAATAGGTTCGTAGTGGTGAATATGACTTGTGTGCAAAATTTGAGATCAATCAGACGTGGTTTGGTTGGTTTCGGCATCGGTTGTAGAATTTTATAATTTCAAGATCATTTAGTTTGGATTGGAGGGTGATTTGTGGTTTTGGCTTTGTTTGACGTGATTTGAGGGATCGACTAACTCCGTATGTTGTTTTATGTTTGGTTGGTATGTTTGGTTGAGGTCTCGGGGGCCTCAGATAAGTTTTGGATGCTTAACAGATTTAATTTGGACTTAGGCATTTTTTGAAGTTTGTTGAACCTGATATAATTGCACCTGCGGATGTGGGACCACAGGTGCCGCAGAAGTGGGTGGGTAGCCACAGAAGCGGAAATGGATCAAGGAAGCAAGAATCATAGGTGCGGCTGGGAGATTGTAGATGCGGGACCGTAGATGCGGCCTAGTGACCGTAGATGCGGCCCCAGCCTGGGTAAGTGACTTTTGTGCCTGTGATGCTTTTTCTGCAGGTGCGGGACTGCAGATGCAGCCCCATGGGCGCAAATACGAAAATTTTTGGTCAGAAAAGATGATTTCGAGGGTTTGAAATTTCATAACACTAAATTCGATTTTTAGCTCGGGAGAAGGAGATTTTGTGAGGATTTTGAAGAGGAAGTCAGTGGGTAACGATTCCTAACCCTATTTCGTTTATATAAAAAATAGGAATTTGGGGGAAAAGTTTCCTAATCGAATTTTTGGTTTTTTATCAGGTTTTAAGCGTCGAAATTGAATAATTTTTGGATGAGTGATATCGTGAGTGAATGGGTGTTCATAATTTGTGATTTTTATCCGATTTCGAGGCGTGGGCCGGGGAAGGATGTTTTGGCGTTTTCCGATTTTCTTTCCTTAGTCTTGAATTCATTAGCTAAATTAGTTGCTTGTAGCTTTAATTACGTTATGTAATTGATTTGATTAGATTTGGGCCACTCAGAGTTGGATACTCGTGGAAAGAGCGTGATTTTAGATTGATTTGGAGCTTGGTTCGAGGTAAGTGGCTTGCCTAACCTTATATGGGGGAACCCTCATTAGGATCGTGTACGTGAGGTGACGAGTGCGTACACGTGCTAATTGTTAAAAAACCTCATTTTCATTCAGTAAATATCTATGTTATCCTTTAATTGAGCAATACCAGTATATGTAGCCTCCTGTTTAGCTTAGGAAGGCATGTTTACGTTCTTTAACTATCTTATCTGCTTTAACTGCTTACATGGATTCTGTGTAGCATACTTCGAGTAAGAATTACTTGTCTTTCTTTCTACGAACTTGATTAGAACTGTAGATTTTTCCTAGCTAGTATTGTTGTGTATATTGACTGAGTTGTGTATTTATTTTGGGACTATGGATCGGTATTATGGGAGATCCCTCGGTATGTTTATATTTGGGACTATGGGACGGTATCTTGGGAGATCCCCCTATACTGAATATTTACTTTGGGACTACGGAACGGTATTTCGGGAGATTCCCCTGTACATTTACGATTTGGACTACGGGCCGGTATTCTGGGAGATCCTCTGTACATTTACATTGAGACTACGGGACGGTATCCCGGAAGATCCCCTGTTGTTATCTCTGTGTATTGAGTTATATTGTTCCTGTGATTTTATTTTCATTTATTGTTAGCATTTTTAACACTACTGCGATATTTCCTACTGTTTTACCTTATTATATGTATAAACTAGCAGGGGCCTGACCTGATCTCGTTACTACTCGACCGAGGTTTGGTTTGGAACTTACTGGGTACCGCTGTGGTGTACTCATTCCCTTTCCTGCACATGTTTGTCGTGTGCAAATTCAGGTACTTCTTCTCAGCCATACTTTTAGTGAGGTAAGGCAATCTTAGAGACTTCGAGGTATATCTGTTGCGTCGCAGACCTAGAAGTCCCTCTCTATTCCTCCTTCAGTTATAGACTTCCTATATTTTCCTCGTTGTTAGATTTTCTGGAGTTAGAAATACTATGTTCTGTAGCTTGTGATTCATGAGATTCTGGGTTTTGGGAGTGCTTATATTCAGTTCGAGAGTGTTTTATTGTATATGCCGCTAACCGAGCGGCATTTTAAACTTCTTTATTATATTTACCTGTTAAATTATTAGTTTCCGTATCTTTATTTTATTCCGCAAGTTATTAGGCTTAGCTAGTCGTACAGACTAGGTGCCGTCACGACAGTTCATGGAGGGAGAACTTGGGTCATGAGAGCAGATTATTTAATTACATGGCATTTTTATTGAGGGAGTCCTTCGCCATAGTGGAAAGCCGTTAGAGTTCGGGGGTATATTTGTCTACTTTCTTAACGATAGGGACGTATTTGCATCGATAGTAAAACTGGGAATAAACGTGGACAACTTGCTAAATTAAAGGGATAAATTTGACTTTCTTCCCAAAAGAAATTGTGAGTGTTGCTTCCCAAAATCACATGAACCCATCCAAGCACTCTATCAGCACCGAATGAACTATAACTCATATAACTCCTAGTTATCTTATTCACTATGTAGGCAAAATATTCTTAATGATAATGTATTCACACCTCGAGCTATATTCTATTGTACATATTATTTTTCTAATAAATTCAACTCTTCATATATAAAATTCCTTCAACATGGCCGGACTCGAAAATTTCATAATATCTTACATATACTAATCATTGAAAATACATCCATAGAATGGCAAATACGCAACCTTATTTATTTCACATGCTAGCTAGCTAGTACTAGCCAGTATTGCCAAATAGACATCACACAACACAATAAATAAATAAATAAATATATATATATATATATATATATATATCTTCTATTTCTTGAGAAGATGACCCTCTACATCTTTGGTCATATCAAGGACTACGCCCATGAAAGCGAGGGGCTCAGGGGTATCTTCAGTTTTCTTCTCGTACACAAATGTCCATGTTATCCACTGGTCTTCAATGGATGTGACTATAGTGAAGGAATTATACAATTCTAATAAATCTCCTTCAATTACTTTCCAAGTGACTGATTTCTTTTGAGGATCGGTGGCTTCAATTGTATGCTTGATAAACTTTTCTCTTCCATCTATAATCATTAACATCTGAAATTAATGTTCAACTGTCCAATTTTTCATAAAAAGATATAAATATTCACAAAATAATATGTTCATATTTCTTCCTTTGTTTTTAATTTTCATTTTCTTCAAAAAATTATTAACGGACTTATCTTTAAGAATCTCACAAGAAAAATTGACATTTTGGAGAATCTGGGAATTAGTAGGGAAGACTATATATAAATTTGATTACATAGATATTTGGTTTTTCTAAGATATATTTGGTTGGTGATATTAAAGACTGCTAATAATATTAACAATTCATAAACTAGTTTAATTTGATGAAACTTTTGAGTGATAAAGATTAATAATAACGTCTAAGTGTTTACTGGAGCAAGCAAAATAAAATTAACAATTAATATAGTTTTAACTAAGAAAATAACTTCCACCTACAAGTGAAAGAATTTCTCAAAATATTTCTGTAGAGAGAGGGGGGAGGGGGATGTGTATTACCTTCGTTATATTTTGTGCTAACAACCGAACCAACCTTTCCGATTTCACCTTCATGAATCTCAAAAACATTGATCTTATTAGGGCTTATATTGGGTATATGATGAGTATTAACGTGAAAAATATCATGAACGGAGTGTCCTTCACACTTTACCTCCATTGAAGCAATCAACTTGCCTTTGATGCCCATATTTTCTTCTCCTCGGATTAGTAATAAGTTGTGAAAATTAAGTGGTGAGAAAATGTTCAGGACTTGTAGTCTTTATATAGATTTCAGTTAACTTTGAAAAGCTAGCTAGTAATACAAACCTTTATCCACCACATATTTATATCATGTATTTAAAAAAGCAATATTTTTATCAGACAAGTGGACAAGTTTTAGTTACATGTGTTGCATGTATTTTCTATTACAAGAGACAACAAAAATTCAATGTAATCTCATAAAGTGAGAATTGGGTAGGATAAGATGTACGCAGAACTTAGCCATACATTGTGAAGATAGAGAGGTTATTTCGATAGACCTTGGCTCCAGAAAAAAATGAAAAAGAACCAGTCACAATAAGCGCTAACAACAACAAGATAAGATGATAAGAGTGTTGCATGTGTTTTCTATCACTAAAAAATGTACAGAAGAAAAATAAACTATTGTAAAATAGCAATTGATCTTAAATAAATGCAACATTTGTTTAAATGGTGAAAATATGATGTTATTACATTGACACATTAGGTGAGTTCAATATCTTCCAAACATGCAAAAATGGTGAATTTGATTAAGTATTTGTATGGTAGATATTTATTATATGAGATAAAAATATTATATGTTATTGTGTTTTACCAAATATCTCTTTATAAACAATGTTTTTGGGTATGTTTTCCTAAGCGATGCTTAGCTGCTCTGTCATGATCAGAAGTTGCCATCAACATTGATATCTATCTTTAAAATAAAACATATCACGTGAAAAATCATGTTATGTTCTATGTCTTGTGCTAACCTAATTGAGGATTCTTTGGACAGTTTTACAAAAATAATATAACTTTTTCGAAATTACAGAAATATAACAATTATGTTGTCATTTTGCTAACCTAATCAACGGATTTTAAGCAATTAGTTTTTTGGGTGACTTATTCAAAAATTACAGAAATATAATAAATGCTGAATGAAAGAGCGGTTTTATGTATATCATATCGGAATAAATATAAAACGCCCAAGCATAAGAGATTCAAACACAAACTGGATTGATGGATTCTCTAGTCACATAGTGGCATCATAACCGATAAAAGGAGAAATAATTGCATTACTCAAAGGTCTGGAACTAGCTTTCACGAAAAATCGTATACCACTAATAGTGGAGACGGACCGCTGCGTATTAATTTCCATATTAAACAACACATGTGATAACAAAGCTTATGTTAATTTTCTACATCACTGCAGGTTCCTGCTCGATGCAATTGATCAACTGGCCGTTAGTCTACCGTGAAGGGAACCAATTGGCATACACTAGCTAAACATGGGAGCACCTAGAACTCATATACTTATGATGAGTGTGAAGACTATTTCTAGAGTAAATCACCTTTATTTTTTTTTCTCTATTTTCCACAAAGACTTTTTAGGGACTGCATCATTAAGATCAGTCCTATGCTGTAATAACACTTCTTAATTTCCTACTTAATAATACAACAATAACAACATGCGCAGTATTTTCCCATACTGTGGGGTCTAGGGAGGGTAGTGTGTACGCAGACCTTACCCCTACCTTATGAGGATAGAGAGGTTGTTTTCAATAGACCCTCGGCTCAGGAAAGCATAAGCACCACATTAATGAAAATATAGACGAGAAGGGATAGTACCAAAAATCCATATAAAAGCAGAATAAAAAGCAGCAAGATAGTAAGGTGATCAACAATGAAAGAGAACAACGGTTTGTCAAAAAAACCTACTATCAACAGAAAGTGAGACTGCGTGCCAATACTACTGCTATGAACACTTTAGACTACCTACTCTACTACCTTAATCCTCGACCTCCATACCTTTCTATCAAGGGTCATATCCTCAGTCAGCTAAAGCTACGCCATGTCTTGCCTAATCACCTCGCTCCACCTCTTCTTTGGCCTAGATCTACCTCTCCGTAGGCCCTCAAATGTCAATCTCTCACACCTCCTCACCGGGGTATCTGTGCTCCTCCTCTTCACATGACCAAACCACCTATGCTGCGCTTCCCGCATCTTATCCTCAATAGGGGCCACACCTACCTTGTCATGAATAACCTCATATTTGATCCTATCTAACCTGGTGTGCCTGCACATCTGTTTCAACATCTTCATCTCTACTACCTTCATCTTCTAGACATGAGCGATCTTGACTGACCAACACTAAGCCCCATATAACATTGTTGGTCTGACCACCACTCTGTAGAACTTACCCTTAGTATCGGTGGCACCTTCTTGTCACAAAAAACACTAGAAGCAATTCTCCGTTTCATCCATCCCGCCCCAATATGATGTGTGACATCTTCATCAATCTCCCTACCCCCCTGAATAATAGACCCAAGTTACTTAGCACTTCCTCTCCTAGGGATAACCTGCGAGTTCAGCCTCACCTCCCCTTTCTCTCCTTGAGTCTCACCACTGAACTTACACTCCAAGTATTTTGGCTTGGTCCTGCTCAACTTGAAACCTTTAGATTCTAGGGTCTGCCTCCATACCTCTAAATATGTGTTGATACCGTCTTGCATCTCGTCTATCTATATAATATTATCTACAAATAGCATGCACCACAACACCTCCCCTTGGATGTGGCACGTCAGTACGTCCATCACCAGAGCGAACAGAAAAGGGCTGAGTGCCGACCCCTAATGCAACCCTATCATAATCGAAAAATGGTCTGAGTCCCCACCCACCGTCCTCACTTGGGTCTTTACTTCATCATACATGTCCTTAATCAATCTATTGTAGGCAACAAGTACACCTCTAGCCTCCAAACATCTCTAAAAAATCTTCCTCAAAATTCTATCGTACGCCTTTTCTAAGTCGATGAACACCATATGCAAGTCCTTCTTTCTCTCCCTATACTGCTCTATGAATCTCCTAACAAGGTGGATGGCTTATGTTGTCGAACACCCTGGCATAAACCCAAACTATTTATCGGAACTAGACACGCTCCTCCTGACTCTTAGCTCTACCACTCTCTCCCAGACTTTCATAGTATGGCTAAGCAGCTTGATACCCTGATAGTTATTGTAATTTTGTGAAACTATCGTGCTCCACCTCCACTCTTCGGGAATCTTCTTCATTCTAAAAGTAACATTAAATAACCTAGTGAGCCACTCCAAGCCTGGCTTGCCCGCACTCTTCTAATACCCACTGGAATTTCATCCGGCCCGGTCGTTTTGGCCCTGCTCATATAACGTATAGCCCCCTCAACTTCGTCAATTCTAATCTGCCTACAATACCCAAAGTCACAACGACTCCTAGAGAGTTCCAAATCACCCAGTACAATGCTCATGTCCCCCTCCTCGTTCAAGAGACTATAGAAGTAAGTTTGCTATATCCGACGGACAAGCCCCTCATCCAACAAAACTCTACCTTATTCGTCCTTGATGCATTTTACTTAGTCCAAGTCGCGCACCTTTCTTTCTCGTGCCTTGGCTAACTTGAACAACCTCTTATCCCAACCTCGGCCCTCAAGTTCCTCATACAAACGACTAAAAACTGTAGTCTTGGCCGCCATAACTGCTAGCTTTGCCTCTTTCTTAGCCAACTTATAATGCTCTCTATTCGTCTTCTTCTCCTCCTACTTAATAATACACTTCTCTAATTAGCAAAAAATATATATATAATTCCCTATAAATGTCTGAGACTGCAAAGTACGTTGGGAAAATACTAAATAGAAATAAAATCTCTCTCATAAGCAAACTGCTACATGTGTAAGAGTTATATGCTCCCATCTCATTTTACGTAGACTGCCAAACCTTTTTTTAATTACACTACCAAACTTGGCAAAGTTTGAGATTGATTGACAAGAGACCAGCGAGGAATTGTAAGGAAATCCTATCTCGTGAAAACTAAATAGAGAGTCCAAACCTAATAAAGGGTAAAATCCATACATAAAAGTAGAGACATGCTGCGCCTGAATTTAAACTTTATGAATTCTGACTTTTAGGATAGTCACATCAGGGTTAGTAATTGAGTTTTAAATTTAATTTTTACATATTTGGTTGATTTCTTAACAAAAATATAAACTTTATCTACTGAGTTTGACATATAACATTCTAGTTTGGCCCCTGTATATGGGTCTTTAAAATAAGAATCTTAGAACTAAAGTCGTGGCTCTACTTTTCTTGATTGTTTATACCAGAGCATATATTTTTAAAAAATTAACCTAAATAACAACATGTAAACTAAAAATAGTCGATAGATGTATATATAATATATGTATACTGGCTAAGAAAGGTAAATTGTGAATTCGATCGACTATTTGTGTAAAGATTCCTTAAAAACAAAAGCAAGTGGATAATAATTAGTAGGGGTCGGCATTTGGGCAGTTCAGATTGCACGTGAAAATTTCGATTTCGATTTGGATTTTTGATTTTTGGATTGAAGAATTGACAATCCAAATCCAATCCAAATAAGCTGGGATTGGATTAGATTTTTTAAGTTCGGTTTTAGATTAATCGATTAGGATACTTTGGATTTTTTATTTTGAGCTTATAAGTTGATATGTTTCTTCTTTTTACAAAAATGAATTGTAACGACCCACCCCGGTCGTTTTGAGAGTATTCACCTTGATCCCCTATTTATTGCTCCCTCTATTTCATTTTGTGGTTACGTGACTTGCCAAAATGTTTGGTGTCCGGTTCGGAAGAGTTTCAGAGTGGAATGAGACACATAGTACCTAAATTGAAAGTTAAAGTCGTAGGAGCCGACCATTGTTTGACTTGTGTGAAGACGACTCCAGAATGGAGTTTTGTCGGTTCTAATAGCTCCATATAGTGATTTTAATCTTATGAGCGCGTCTGGACGTTGATTTAGAGGTCGTAGGTCATTTCAGCATTAATTGGCGAAAGATGAAAATTAGTAGAATTTTGGGAAGTTTAATCAGGAGTGGACCTTTAAATATCAGGGTCAGATTCTGATTCCAAAAGTTGAAATAGGTCCATAATGTCAATTATGACTTTTGTGCAAAATTTGAGGTCAATCGGACGTGATTTGATAGGTTTCAACATCGGATATAAAAGTTAAAAGTTCAAAAGTTCATTA